TTAATGTGAAAAATCACTCCTAACGGTTAAGTTTGAGATAATTGTTCCGTCGCTGCAGCTCTAATATACAAGCTCTTCTTCTGCTGCAGGTGGAGGAGTGAAAATTCTACAGAAAAGGTGGAATCTGGGTGATACAAATCTGCTGAAATATATTCCTTCTAAAAACATCTAAAACCTGTTAAATAGCAATAACTAACTCTTAACTTGATGAATCCACAACGTAGAGCTTAAAGTATTTTTATTTTTTAAATTATTTTTATACATTATACAAAGCTTATTTGTATCGGAATGTCACTGGTGTTACGTGTTACCAGGAAGAAGAGTAACACCAGTGACGGTAACACCAGTGACAATTTGGAGAAAACACTACCATTTTAACAAAATGGCTGCAATGTGTCAGACCAAATATGGCTTCAGTCAATATCAAAATCGTTTAACTCTTCAATACAATACATTTTCCAATTCAAATGTTCACCCCTAGGGCTATGCAATGAGTAACACTAATGACAGACTTGTAAGACGCACGTACAATTTGAAGATAAAATGACACCTTTAACAAACAAAGTAAGAAGTATCTGACTTTCCTTATGTCTTTGTCCACTGCACTGCCTCAAATGATCGCTTGTTACAAGGAGGCACTTCAGAGACAGTTTTGTGTAGCAGTAACACCAATGACGTAATTTTGATATTATTAATAATAATTTGCTTTTTTTTTACCATTTCAGTGTTATATTTAATGCTTGTAATGTTATGTAAATATAAATTAGATTTATTTATTGAAAAAAATTAAAACTATAGGCTTCCATGTATGATCAAAGTGACAAGGCAGTTCCTTGAACTTGGCATTTTAAATAAATTGCAATTTACGTATAAAACCATTTTTTATTAATTTTTTATTTAATACCATTGCAAAGACAATCTCTATTTATTCAACATATATAATGAATGTTAGTATTAGGTCAACGTCATGTATTTTGGTGTCTGCAAAAGTAAGTGACAGCACTTCCACTTTTTCTGTAGAATGACCCAGCTCTGTTGTGGCTGTTCAGTGTCAAAAACAGAAGAAAGTATCGCCTTCCTCCAGGACCCTATGCGCTTCCTCTAGTAGGAAACCTGCCACAGCTTGACAAACATGCACCTTTTAAAAGCTTTCTCAAGGTAAGACTAAATGTAATCGAACAAGAATAATGAGAGACGACGTCTCTGCATAACCTCAGTCAAACAGATGTTTTTGATCACAAGGAAACATTTGCACTAAAAAAGCAATAGTTAATTTGCAGCTTTTAATTGCCCTAATGTGTTTTCTAGTTCGGTGAAACCTACGGTCCTGTGATAACAGTGTACCTGGGCTGGCAGCGGACGGTTGTTCTGGTAGGACACGATGCCGTGAAAGAGGCTCTGTATGTGTCACTTTGTATGTTGACTGAATGAAGAAACTCGCTTTTATATAGAGTTTTTGATACGTCAGAAATCACAGCAAATCACGTTTTTCAAGTGAAAAGCTCAATTGACACAAAAAGGAGTCGCAGCAAAGCAGTTGGCTACTCTTGAGTTGTTATTGTTGTTAGCATAGCGCATAGGTGAGCGTAAACTGTTATTGGCTGGATTCTTGGGCAGCCCCGCCCCCTCCACGTGTGATTGACATGTATGGTATGTGGTCATTCTTTTGAACTAAATTACATTTTTGTATCTGTTGCTGCAAACATATCTGCTTTCTATATCACGTTGCCCTTCTTTTCATTCGAGAGGAATATCAGAGATTAAATAGGATAATTTATATTGTATAATTTCATAATGGTGCCCATTGTTTTGTTTTATTTTATTGACTGGAATACCCATTGGGAGGCAATTATAATATGTGGATGCAATTCCTAAATTGTATTTCATAAAAGGAGAATTATTGTAGTATGTCACAAAATACAACACATTGTAACAAAAACCGAGACACAATTATGATTTTACTTTATTTTAAACACCAACAGAAACCATTTAAGCATCAAAACAAGAGGTCATATCACCAATATACATATTAAAAAAAGGGTACAACAGAAATAAAACAGGAGAATATATGAAAATTAAAATATCAAACTAAAGCACTACACCAAGCAATGCCATTACACCCATAATCATGAACGTTTCGCAGTGCTTAGTCTACCTATTTACAACAATCCTTCCTCTCTGGTATAATATATCCTGCTTTAATATATTTAGCGTTGTGATTAAACACCCAGCTTTTAAATCACGTAGTATCAAAAGTATCATTTGATAGTGTTTTGAATAAAGTTTGATATGCTGTTAACTTGGGGCAGAGTAAAGGCAGTGAATGTCACTTTTCTTTCAATACTACTAAGTTAGTGGTACATTCAAAAAACAAATGACCTCAACCTTGCCTTCAACTGAAGCTGTTTGTTTGAAAGTCGGATAAAAAAGTGAGTGTATAATTGAAAGAAGGTATATGGATCGTCAGTCACAGCAGGAATCCAACAGCTTCTTCTCCTGCTTAATTAGTGTTATTTTATCTTTAGGAAGTAAATATTCACATCTATTTGGCTGTTCATGTTCAACCCGGACTACATTCATTACTCACAAGGACTTCACGGTTTGTTTACCTGCAGCCAATAGACACTAGTCTGGACTCTGCACTCGACATATCAAGAGGAAAACGATGATCGCACATTGAGAGGCCTAACGTCACCTGTCGAGAGGTTTTTACTTAGCTGTGCTCTGCCATCAAAACATTTACGATCACGACCACAAGCAGCTTCTATACAGGCCCCTGCTAAAACTCATATTAAACTATTCACTCTAAAACAGGAAACGGAATATTAACGGAAAAGCAGAATATTCAGACTCACTTGAGGATTTTTTCTACCATGCATCACTGCTATAGTGTCCCTGAACACAAATAGCTGTATATTCAACTACCGGATGTAAATCCAGTCTAGCTCACTATAGCAGTAATGCCGTTATAAACAATACTAGCAGAGGCAGGTCTGATCTGTGCGTAATGCCCTTAATTATGGGATTACAATCCGCAACACATCACAGCTGTGTTGCTCTGTAATCTGCGTGGGCGTCGTACTTCCGTCTCCCTGCCCACGCTCAAATAAATCTCTCCTACAGCTGTTCCCTCGACACAAATCAGGCCAACAGCTGCCGAGTCACACAGTTATACTTCCGAGTCGCCTCACACGAACCCACCACAGAGTGAAAACAAACACGGCATATTTCAAAACATCTCTGGAATGACAATTTATAACACACGAGCGATACCTTCAAGGTCATACAACATTTAAATAAAATAAAAAAGTGTTATTTAATATGTATATATTAAAAAGAAGCCGGGGAATTCGAAGGCTCTTTATTTTGCTTGACTATAAACTCTAAATCTTAAGACAGTGTGTCCCGCAGGGTACTCATTCTATTTGGCAATGTTTCTGTAAGAGTTGGCAGAGAAGTGAGGAATAAGGGAGAAAAACGAGAGGCCGTTTGTTTTAAGATGAAGATGGCACTTTTCTCTCCGTTATACACCTCTTATATATTTATTTAAAGTGCAGCATTAGGGCGCTTAATGCAGGCACGCTTATTTGTATCCATGTGGGGAATTACATTCTTAGGCGTTGGAGGAGCCTGGACCTAAGAATTTAATTGTCATAACTACACTGTAACTATGCACATACAGTATGACAACAAGAACCTTGAACCTTGAACCATGTGGTATAGTAGTTCTGTCAGGGATGGCCTCTGTAATAATGTCTAAACATCTGGACCCCTCTATTCCCTGACTATTCATAACAACGTCTCCATCCTCTTTACCTACTGCTCTTGTAAAAATACTTCCCACAGTCTGTTAACGAAAGCCTGCCGTGAATCTGACCTTTGTAGTGTTGTCTTAAAAAGTGAATCTGGCCTTCCCTGTTAAGGAAAAGATCTGATTTGTTTCTCTAGTTCAGCGGTTCCCAACCCTTTTGGTCACGTGTCCCCCTTGAGCTGGTCGCCACGCTATAAGTACCCCCTCACTCATCTGTGATGATATGTGTTCCTGTATTAAACCCTTTGTAATAATGTTCAACCCTCCTCAGATGAACATCACTTGCATAACTCACCCTTAATACAAATGCATTTAAACTTGACGTTGATACTTACTGTCAGTGAAAATAATAATATTAAGACTCACTTCTAGCAGTTTCCACATCTTTCGTTAAGACTAGAGCTTGTAATGACACACTTGAGCGTGTCTTTCATACGCTTTGATAGCTCTGGGGGCAGGACACCAGGCTTATGAAAATTGATTAGGTAAAATGTTTTGTGTGGAAATGTATTGCAATCCCTAATATCTCTACGTACCCCCTCGAGAACCCCTAGGGGTCCCCGTACCCCCGGTTGGGAACCACTGCTCTAGTTGATAGAAATTGGATTTGGGCTACAGGACAAAGTGTTTCAGTCTCAGAACTCGTCGTCGGAGCTGAGCAGGAGCGTCTTCTCGTTGTCCCCGCGGGTGCTGAGGTTGCTGTGGCTGCGGGACAGCGGCGGCCCCCCGCTCCGCTCCAGCGTGGACTGCTGGGTGTACTGCTGGTACGCCGGGGAGAAGTTATGGATGGCGTCCTGAACCATGTCGCCAGGGTTCATGGTCTCCTTCAGGCTGCTGGAGATGCTCTTCATCGGGGCGCAGCGACCTGGAGGAGGGTAGAGGGGGATATTAATGAAGAGACACAGAAGTGTATGGACAGGGACGGGGATATGGAGGAGACAGGTGAGTGAAAACAAATACAGAGACTATGTTTCCGTCCATCTGTCCAGTGAACTTACCATATGCATCTTTAATATGTTGGCTTAAAATGAGGGCTGTCAACGTTAAAGGGGCCCTATCATGCTCTTTGGGGTTCTCCCTTTCCTGTAGTTTGTTATATGGGTTTTTGTGCGTGTATGTAAATGGTCTGCAAAGGCTAATATCCAAAGTTCCCTCCAGTATGAGAAAAATAAAGATCTTTTGAACATTAAAGTATGGAAACATGTCACAGTAGAGACACTAAATACACATTTGAACCTGAAAATGAGCAGAATAGAGCCCTTTTAATTGTGATTGAGTATGCACCATACACACCAGATGCAACACAATACAAATACAATTTTTATTTTCCTGGTACAGAAAATGTGACTGAGTCTGCGTATAGAGACATGGACTAACATTGGCTTGAAATCAGTGACAGCAAAACCAACATAAGGAAACTAAATACTGGCCTAAACCCACTTTAAAAAGTACAAACTAAAATCATGCTGAACGGAAAATAAATGATAATGTAATTTAACATTAACCAAAATCAAACACAATACAATCCAACAAAAATAACTGAAATGGGGGTCTAAACGTACAGAAACACAGCTAACATCAGACCTACCGTACTGTCCGTAGATAGGAAATGAGCCTTTGAGTGCAGTGAGGAGACAAAGGAGACAAGGAACAAGAGAAAGTCAAGATTTAAGGGAAAAGCAGAGAAAAAGAGAAAGATTTAAAATGTATAGAGCATAAAAAGAAAGGAAACAAAGTAAAAAGGTTCTGGATACACAGAGTGAGGTCGGATCAGATCTGTAAGACTGCAGGAATAGGTTTAGAGAACCACTTCAGATTAGATTATAATACACACTTTTAAATAAACACTCTCTTCCTCATCGTCCACACAGTGAGGCTTTGGTTCCACTTGTTCTCACCATATGAGTCCAGTCTTTTGTCCATGTAGACCTTGTAGGTGAAGGCGTGGCGCAGGGCAACGGCAGCGAAGAACATCTCGATGCAGATGATGAAGTTTTGGTAACCCGCGGCAACCGTTCCCTCACCCACGGAGAACTTGGCCGAGTTGATCTGAGGGATCGCTCCGCACTTCTCCAGGATGGCAAGCAGCATCCCTGCATCGCAGAAGAAAGACAGGAAGTGAGGAAATAGAGGATAGACTCAAACTCTTTGAAAGCTTTCTGGATATCTGGATAAAAAAATAAATAAAAAAAGTTACAAACCCCTGAATCAGAATCAGGTTTATTACCAGGTAGGTTGATACGTACGAGGAATTTGACTTATGTCATGGTGCATAAATAAAAGTAAAACCTAACCCTAAAAACACAGATAGAGAACAAAAAATAATACAA